CCTATGATCTTCGGGAGGCCATTCTTAGCAACCTCAGGAGCATTAATCGATGTACCTAAGGGTGAGTTGATAATGCGCGTGGATGGAGAGCAAGCAATATTCAAGGTATTCATAAATGAAGCTCCTCCATTGCCTGCTTCTCAACCTAAGAATCAAGTCAACTACATTGCGGAGAAAAAGGTTGAGGAAGGGAACAAGAAGGAAGTTCATCAGTGGCATGAAGAAAGCAAGCCAAAGGTGAAGATGGAAAAGCCCAAGAGCAAGGAAAAATATGTGAAAACTAAGTTTAAAGTTCTTGAGAACCCTCCTCCTCATCCATATGCATATGATCATGGAAGGAAACAATACTGGATCAAGAAGACTGGGTCATCGATGGTAGCATACTTCCAACCACCATAATCACAAGGGGTACGTCAGGCTCGTGACGTTAAACAAGCGCTAATTGGGAGGCAACCCAATAGTTGTTTTTCTGTTTTTAATTTCTTTATTTTATTTGCTTAGGTTAGTTAAATTTTTTTATATATATAAGTCAAGTAAGTGGTGAATTAGTGACCATATGGAAAAATATTAAATCTGGGAATTGGCGCTGTGAGCGCCAATTTGGCGCTAGTAGCGCCACAAGACCAAAAGAGACAGTGAGTTCCACGCTCACAGCGTGGTAACCACGCCATCAGCGTGGAAACCTCACGAAGTACTCGCGCCAATAGCGTGAATTCCACGCTTCGAGCTCCATCAAACAAAATGAGGCAGTGAGTTCCACGCTCACAGCGTGAAACCCACGCTGTGAGCGCTAGTTCACTTCACAGTGACATTTACTTTGGCATTTTATTTTGTTGTTTTGAGTATTTTGTTGGAATTAGTTGGTTGAATTATGTCTCTTTATGCTTTACACTTTGATGATTATTCTGTTTTACTGTTTAACAAGTGTGTGTGTGTGTGTGTGTATGTTCCACCTGGCAGAATTAGCTTCTTCGACCAGTATAGTTGTTGCTGAGGACAACAACGTTCTAAATCTGGGAATTGTCGCATGCTGTATGCGAGACTTGCTAAATACTGCGGAACTACACAACGGGAAGGACGTCTAAACAGAAATTTTTCTGAAAAAGGGGAGATATTTTAACCTTAAAATTTTTTATTATTATTATTATTTGTTTTCAGTAGATTCAATTTTTAAAGGAAATTGAAAAAAAAATTAGAGAATTCCTGAACAAGCAGTCCCAGAGTGTTTTAAGCTTACTCAGTAAGTAATTAGATTGAGTTAGAGGAAGCATGATATCTGTGAGCAATTAATTATTTTTATCTGAGAATGATGACTGCTCGTTTTTATAACTGCTTTGGTTAAAATTTTCGGATAATGCTTGATGTGAAACTTTGGATTGAGATTCTAGTTTGAATTATAACTGTGAGGATTTGAGCTTAAACAGAAATTTCTTTTTTAGAGAGGCCTCACTGTAGTAGTTTCTAGAACTTGAACTGTTTCTCTGGCTTGCATGCATTACTGAAATGATAAGGGCATTTTTATTCTTGTTAACTTAGAGCCAAATAGCCTACCTATAAGAATTCCCATTGTTAAGCCCTTTTGAGCCTTAAACCAGTTCATTCAAACCTGATGAAAATTACTTAATCCTGTTCCTCTTGCCACACCTTGAGAGATTGAATGCTGAACAAAGAAGAAAAGTCCCAGAGTATTTTAAGCTTACTCAGTAAGTAATTAGATTAAGTTAGAGGAAGCATGATATCTGTGAGAAATTAATTGTTTTATCTGAGAATGATGACTACTCATTTTTATAACTGTTTTGGTTAAAATTTTCGGATAATGCTTGATGTGAAACTTTGAATTGAGATTCTAGTTTGAATTATAACTGTGAGGATTTGAGCCTAAACAGAAATTTCTTTTTTAGAGAGGCCTCACTGTAGTAGTTTCTATAACTTGACCTGTTTCTCTGGCTTGCATGCATTACTGAAATGATAAGGGCATTTTTATTCTTGTTAACTTAGAGCCAAACAGCCTACCTATAAGAATTTCCATTGTTAAGCCCTTTTGAGCCTTAAACCAGTTCATTCAAACCTGATGAAAATTACTTAATCTTGTTCCTCTTTCCACACCTTGAGAGATTGAATGCTGAACAAAGAAGAAAAGTCAAATCACTTCTCAAGAAGGAAAAGATAAGTAGCTGAACAAGGAAAAGAAAAAAATTTGCAGCTCAAAAGAGAAAAGAAAGAAAACATCTGCAAATAAGGAAAGAAAAGGGTAGTAAAAAAAAAGGAAAGAATCACAAGTCTGTAAGATGAGGCAAAGCCCAGAAAAGAAGGAAGTATTGTTAAAATCAGTATTTCAATCTCTCCAATCAGCTTCTAACCAAAAGATTCTCACCCCCAAACCAGGCCAAGTTACAACCTGTCAAAGACCTTTTGATCAGTCTATGCATGTCAAATGGATTCCTCATTCTTAGGAATTGAGAATAAGTTCAAGCCTATGGAATTACTGCTACACTGACGGATAAGTGTGAAACCCTTAAACACTGAGTGTGATGAGAGTACATTTAAACTGATGAGGAAATGTTCACACTAGGGTTTAAATTCTTGATATAACTGAAAAGCATTGTTGGAAGTTTTAACAAAGAGTTATACATGCATAGCAATCTAAATTCTTATGGTGTTGTGTTCCATGTTTTCACTGAATTATTCTTTGCTGATAACTTGAATCTATTACATTGCTGAGGACAGCAAAGTTCAAATCTGGGAATTATTTGATATGCATTCAGCATATAAGGAAATCTAAGCCAAAAAGAAAAATAATGTTGATTAAATCTTAAGCAAAAAGGGCAATAATCACTGTTGATCTATCAAAATCTTAATCAGAGATTGCATATTGATTTTATGTTGATTTCGTAGGAAAAACAGACAAACTGGAGCTAAAAAGGAAAAAAGCTAAACTGAAGGCCCACGCTCACAGCGTGGGTATGACGCTCACAGCGTGAAGGGAGCTCTTTCACACAGAGGCATCCACGCTACTAGCGTGGGATTCACGCTAGTAGCGCCAGAGATCACAAACAGGCAGAAGCTACCACGCTACTAGCGTGGCATTGACGCTAGTGGCGCCAGACTCTCAATCAGTCCATGCTTGCAGCGTGGAAACCACGCTAGTTGCGTGGTGCTCCAGGATTCTTAACAAAACTCCCACGCTCATAGCGTGGGAACCACGCTAGTGGTGTGGGAGGTGCGTCAATCAGCATTAAATCTGTTTTAAATCAGAGACAGATCACATTGAGATTACGACAAGGATTCAATCAAGATTCTACACCAGGTCAAAGACTCTATAAATAGAGACTCAGACTTCCAGAGAAAGATAACTTTTGCACACAGAGGAAGATGGAGGCAGAATGCAGAGCAAGCTTCTTCTCCAATTTTCTGGTTTTATTATTTTATTTTATGAATTCTTTTCAATTCTTAGAATTGTCAGACATGAATATTTCTGGCTAGTTTTTTATATTGTGGTAAGGGTCACAACCCTTGATGTGAACCCCTTGTAGTTTGGTTAAATTTATATTTAATTATTTCAATTGATTTATTTTATCATGTTCTTCATCTATAATTCTTTTAGAATTGATCACTCTATTAGGATTGCGAGGGTTAGAGTTTTCAATAGGAATATTGGGATTCTAGTTCCTGACAAAGGGTAAAATAACAGTTCATGTATGCACTAGGGATAGGCTACATGAACTGCAAATGTGGAAAATTCACTGGGTTAAAGGATTAACTTGAAAAAGGATTTCTAAGGGATTAGGATTCTAATAAGGTTAATAAAGTTAAGATCACTAAGGGATTAGGGCTTAACTAATTAATTAATAGATGGTGAATTGTTTGATCAATTGGGTAATTAAATGTAAACATTAATTAATATTACAAGGTGGGGATCGGAAAGGTGTTGGCGTCATTTACTGCAATAGCTTTTTAAAATATTTTCTCAAAAACCTTTTATTTTAAGTTTTCAATTTTCTCTTTGAATTGTTCACAAGATATTAAATAGTTCACAATTGTTACAACACAATTATTCTCAAAAACCAATTTTTATTCATCCAATAAGAAAGGAATAGTTAAAATAAATTTGGTGCCTCAATCCTCGTGGAGACGATCTCTACTCACTATTTTATTACTTGGTACGATCGGTGCAATTGCCAATTTTACGCAACAGTGCTCATGTGAAAGCGTTCGACTTAGGTATGTATACAGAGAGTCTTTTTTCACTCCCTAACGATGGAAGCATGGAAACACCATCAACCGAAACCGACCAGGAGAAATAGGAATGTCTAAATTGTTGTAATTTCAATTATTTATTTACAAAATTCATAGCTTAATTTTGGAAACAAGGTTTGTTTGACTTGTTCTTATTATTGTGGCATCATGTTTTCTTCAACATAACTTTTGATCTATTGTGGCATCATATGTTTGTTGTTTAGTTAGTTATGCTCTCCAATTTATCAGTTGACCAGCTAGCTTAGCAGCATCATAGCATGCGGGAAAAAATATGAGGTCAGAGAGAAGAAACATGCATTGACAATTTTGAGTGTCCGAGATCAAACTAATTTCTTAAGTGAAGAAATTTACAAAGAAGAGGACAATGACAAGTAGACCTTTTATTTATTTGTTTGTTTATTATTTTATTGATTTATGCTAAAGCATTGATAAGTAGACCCCAAATAATTGACAATGCATTTCATATACTTCTGACTCAAGTTTGCAAAGAGATATTAGGACGAAGGTTGCTACGTAGTTAGACACGAGTACTTTTAGGACCGCAAAATTTCTTTGCTTTATAGAACCAGACATCACTTTTTACATTGTCACATTATATAACTGTATGCCACTACAAGTTAAGCTAAACAAGTTTTTCACTTCATGCCAATCAATCTCAAGAGAATTTCAGAAAGCTAATTTGAATTACACTGTTCTCAACAAGTTTTGTTTCTATAGATTTTTGGAGCAGAAGCTGGAACTACTTAAGAAGGAGAAGTAGATCTTGTAGCCAAAGCAACTAGAAAGTCTTTGCAATCCCCAGATGGAATTCCTTCATGTATAACGTCAACAAGTTCCTTCTCATACTTCTCCTTGAAAACCCTTCTAATCTCATCCATGTCTACCTCAGCCCTGCTTACCAATGCTCGTGCCAAAGTTCCTCTGTCCCTTGTTTCCCCTTTGATGCTTGTATACAGTGACTGCCATTATTAACCCAAATTTTAATTTCTCTTTCAACTAATCAATCTTTTACTAGACCATTTTAATGAAATTTTGAAACAACAATTTGGGAACATACAACTGCACCCCAGTGAAATTCAGTTCTGTTAAAGAAAAACAAAGATAAAATTGTTACCTTTGCATAATAATATGCTGGATTACAAATGCATTTCACAACCACCAATAAAGCTTTACCAAATTGTCCATAGTTTCCCTTCTTGATAGACTAAAACATAGAGTGCATAAAGGACACACAAGTCAAATTTCAAATCGATCAAATAATGAAAATACATTGAATGGTGTGGCAGGGAGAGGATTACTAGCTTATTATTTTATCTTATTATTCGAATACCTTTGTGTAGTCATGCCCATAAATGCTTTTATAACTTAAAGATGTTAGCTTCAGTTGGGGGATGCTTCTCTTGCTTAAAATTTCTAGTACAACAGCTTCATACACAGCTCCTAAGCTTCCCTCCCCAGTTTCATAGAGCCTCCTTGCATCACACTTAGATATATGCTGACTAACATCAGTTTGGTGAGCTTTATGTGATGCAGCCAATGCCACAAGAATCTGCATACTCGAACCCATTTCTTTAAATTTACAAACAATTGACAATTTGAATAAACCATTTGAGTGTTTCCCAATAATCTCACCTTTTGAAATGGATGTGGAGGGTCCAAATTGATAATATCTTGGTCCAACAGCCTTCTGAACCTTTTCTGGTAGGCCTGTATGATGAGAAGAACATGACTTGATTTTCTACAAGCAAAAATTTCCACAAGAGCCTTGAAATTTGTCTCATCTTGTTGAAGAGCTTCTCTAGCCACAACAGCATCCCTATCATGTGGGTCAAGCATCCACAAGTATAAAACAGAGCATTTCATGGAAGAAAACTCATCTTCATATCTTTGAAGTTGACTTATCAAGTCTTCTCCATACACTTCCTTGTAGGTCTCCCTTAGCTGTTGTCTTTCAAGCTGTGTTAGGCAAGCCAGAGATGGAATCAGTTGCCTCAAACCCCCTAAAGAATCATGAATTTTCTTGCAATCAAGTTCAAAATTGTGCTTTGCATTGGTTACAATGTTGGTAGCCATATGATGAGGAAAACAGTGGAATGGTTGCTTTGGTTCAACTAGATAGTTCTGCTGACATGTATTTAAGCAACCATTACTTGAAGGGTAAGGCAGGAATCCTTCATTTTGCGTATTCCATGGAAAGGGAAATGGGAAATGGTGGAATCATCATTCACTAAATGTTATTGGGTGAGCTTCGAAGTTCAAAAAGTTAAGGGCAAATGCATTTGAGTTGATGGTGATGTGTAACGCAGGTTGTACTTGTATATGCGTGCCATGTGAACTTTGTTTTGTAGCTGAAATTTTCGTTGGCGTCCAAGTAAGGCTATGAGTGCACCGTGCTATCTTTTTAGCAACTTTTTTTGTCGTCGTTTCCCAACACCAACCATGTTTGTGAGTTCCCATTGAATAATAATGTTTCTTAACACATATTTCATATCAAAAGTAGAAACTATTGATTTGATTCGTTATAAATAAAAATTTATGGTTTTAGAATAATGTAACATAAATGATAGAATTCAATTTTCGTCAAACTTTGTTATTTTAACACGAAACTGACATTATACAATGGGTTCTATTAATTTTGTTGTTACTGGATATAACTTCTCTTTCCTACCACTTACAGTTGAAGAGACATATTTTCCTTATATAATATTGTGTTTTTTTTTTATAAATTTGAGTTCATAAATGGTACAACGGAAATGAGGAATACACCGAAATTTTATCACACAGATAGCGACAAGGTTTACTATGGGCCATTGATGTTGGAGAACAAAAAAGAAAGAAAGAAAGGGAAAAAGAAAAAGAAAGAAAAGGAAAAAGAAAAAGAAGCAAAATGAATGAATTAGATAAGACATACGAGGTTTTCGTGTTAAAAATTTGTGTGTGAGTAACAAGTCTCATGGTACTATTCCTTTTTCATCAAACTTTCGTTATTTTAACATGAAAAAGACATCTGAATGTTGCGAAGAGAAAAGAATAAAATAATGAAAGGAAGAAAACAAATATGATCACAAAAAATTTAAATAAAATTATTTTTTACTTATTTAATAAAAATGAAATTATAAAACTGAAATTTGAATTATTTTGATTCACAAATTTTCTTCTTATCATATAAAATAAACGTTAGTTAAAATTTATTATTATTGTTTAAAATAACACTTTTTCACCATGTTTCATCATCCCTCGTATTAGATAAGAGAAAAGTATACGTTATCAGAACTACAAATTTTATTTTAGGATTATAAATAGTTTGGGATCAAACTTAAAATCATTCGGTTGATTGATTATTTGCCCCTTAATTTAATTTTTTCTTAACATTTTGCCTCATTTTTTCCTTTTGCATATACCAACCAGTGTCTTAAATCTTAAATGTATCTGTCTAATTCAGTTTTGGGTTTGAGCTTCTCCATCATTTCTAAGAGTTGCAACTCTCAAGAATCAAACTCATTATTGTTTATAATTTTACCACCCTCCTTCCTTTTTCAAATTATATATCAATCTTTCATTTTTAACCAAAGTTTGATCAATCTTTACTAGAGTAAATGACTAACCCAAGTAAATCAAAATGATGTAATCGTAAGTCATTTACTCAAATAAATCGGACAAGTGAACAACTCAAATTTGAATTCACAAACTCTTTTTATTTAAACCAAGTTCTAATATCTTATACATACAAAAAATACATAAAACACCTATTTCATTGACTTCTCTACAAAACAAAAAATAAAACACTATGCTAATAGTTATCTATTTAGGTTTGTGGGTCTGAAATTTGAAGCTCAAACCCGATTTTCAGTCCCAGATCAAGCCCAATGATTTCCAAACAAGGCCCAGTGGGCTACTGAACAATTGAATTAAGGATTTATTATATCTCATATTATAAGAGATAAAATTATCTCCTACACACATATAAAAATATATAAAACTTATTTTTTTTCTCTCTCTTCTCTTCACATAACTCTACATGGGCTCAACATACTTTTACATGTGTAGGAGATAATTCTATCTCTTATAACATGAGAAACATCAAACTCATTAATTAATTTTTTTTGATACATAGCCTATTAATTAATTAACTGAACTGTTTTATATAATAACAATATATTATATTATAAAGAATTCTTAATTTTTTTATTCTGAAAAACTAAAATTAAATTTAATTATATTTAAAACTGAAAAATATTTTATTAATCGTTTTAATATTTAAAAATAAATGTAAAAAATAAATTTATAAAAATAATTTTTTAGAAATATGCATACAAATTGTAAAAACTTTTGGCTCATGTACTAGCTTAAATTCAAAAAAACATATATATATATATATGCTCACCAATTTTTTTAAAAAAAATATCAAATAATTCTTAAACTATAACAATAAAGCTAGCTAGTAAATCGTACATCCACATGTCCTTAAATACCTGCTAGCGAAATAATGTAAACATATCTAAACCTTTCGTTCCGTAAAATGTTGACCGTAAATTAATTTATAAATAAAATAGGTGAATTCTCCTCTACCACAACCTTTCGTGAGAGAGAAAAAAAAAAAAAAAGCACCACTAGGGATAGCCTAGTGGTATTGGGTGTGTTCAGGGGATGTTAGGTTTGCGTTCGATTTCATGTAATATCCAAAAAAAGAAAAAAAAAAAAAAAACTACATTTTACAAGCTAGGAAGAACCATTAAAGAAGGAACCTTAACACCCTCATTTTCATTCCATGAAACTATTTATAATATACATTATTAGTTTAAGGATTTTATAAGAGTTATGTTGTAGGAAAAGTGATTGTGTAATGTTATAGAGATTCGTTTTACGTGCCATAATTTTTTCTTTTTCTTTTTTCTTCAAAAAATGTGAGCCTCACAAAATGTTGTGTGTAGAAAAGTTTGTTATGTCATATTAAATGACCAATACAAACCCCTTAGTATCATCGGACCTATGAACTGGTTCTTCTGATTTGTGACGAATACGAATAGATTACGTGGCGGAGCCAGATCAAAAGTTTAGATGGTGTCAAAAAATTTTAACATATTAAAATATTTATCGTAATTACACAAATTAATCAAGAAAAAAATTTATTATGAATTCTAGCATAGTTATCTAAATTATGTATTAAATAATGTCACGTAACATTGAAAATTCACATGAACAATTGCCAATGATTATATATCAAAACAAACCTATAAAAAGGTACTAACTTTTCCGGTAAGTATTTCAAACATAAAAATTTTAATTTGTAAGTAAAGTAAAAGGATTTGGGTATTGGATTTTGTTTTTCTGATTAAAAAACATAAATATAATTATATTTATTTAGGTGGTGCCAAATTATAAATTTAATCTTTATTAATTATAATTAATATATATTTATATATAATGAGTAAAAAAATTTAAAACCAAGCAGGTGCCTTGGCGCCTGCTGGCATAAGTGTGGCTACGCCACTGAATACATTTGGTATGTATAAAACTTTGACACAAACATAATATATTTATTTTATGAAAAAAGTGTGTGTTTTTATAGAGGACACAAATTTAAATTTTTTTTATGAGAGATAGATACAAAGAAATGTGAGTCCCCTTGAAAAAATAAAGACAAAAAAAAAATTAAAAATGTGGATCTCACCTCTTTGTTAAAAGAATCTAAATTTTTTTCCTTTAAAAAGACACATATTTTTTCTTATTTTATTGATCAACTTACAAATAACCTGTTAACCTCATAATATATTGTATATGAATAATATGTCAATCTATATATATATGGAAAAAATGTTTCTGCAGTTAATGCAGATAACTTATCTGCATTTATTTCTAAAACAGCATCGTTTTGGTATTGAAATCTTAAAAAATTATAAATATAAAGACTATTATAACCCTGAAATAAATTAAAATTACAAAAACACCATGATTTCTGCCCCAAAACAACGTCGTATTAGGCTTACTGCAAATAACTTATCTGCAGTAACTGCAGAAAAAGCGAATCATATATATATATATATGCTAAGTTACTCCGCATCAATAACTTGTCAATCTCAATATATCACACTTATTATGTGTGTTGATACATCACAAATAATTCGGGAATCTTAAAGTCTCACACTAATTATGTAAGTTGATACAACATAAATAACTCGCTAACTTCAAAATGTCATGGAAGATATGATCCGACTTGTGTCGTAAACATTGTTTTCACCAATATCATGGTGACACACACAACAAACTAAAAAAAAAAAAAATTGTCTCAAATTTTACCAACATAAATAAGACATAAATTTCAAAACGGATTCATCCGAATATCAGTATAAAAATTTATCACCTCTACTTCTAAAGCCACACTTAAGTCAAAGTCATCGAGGAAGGCACTTCAGTTGCACCATTGTTCTGGTAGTTGAGCCATAAATTAGAACCGGCAAACGACTTTGGCAAAACCTCAATGAGGGCTGAGAATCCTAAGATTTACCATATCATCGTTTTCATTATTTACATAAGAATAAGTGATGAAATGATTTATCGGTGTGATTATTATGATTTAAAGACGATTTCAAATGATTTATAATTCAGGATAGAAAAATTGCAAATGGGCGAGAGGTTTATACTTTATATTCTCTTTTTAACTATGGATAATTAACTTGTCAAAAGAATTAAATTTTATGTAGATAAAAGATTATGGTGGGATCCACTAAAAAAGGAAATAATAAAAATAAAAATCATAATTGTCCACTAAAAAGGGAAATAAAAAAAATAAAAATCATAATTCCTACTTTCATCATCTCTGCAGGAAAGAATAGTAATTTTTCAGTAACAGAACAAGTTGATTTTTCTTAATCAGTGTTATTAAACCCGGACTCACCTGGTCGGGTTGACCCGGGAACCGGTCATATAACCGGTCTGGTTGAAGCAACAGACCGGCCATGCATCAAAATCGGTGTGACCCAGTCCGACCCGGCCGGTTTTCATGAAAATCGATGACCCGGTCCGGTCACAAAAAAAAAATCCAATTTTTTTTCAAAAAAAAAATCATAATGGACATATTTGAATGTTTTTTTGCTTATTAACTTACATAAGTTATGTATTTACAATGCTAATATTATCTCAATTATGCACTATGCAAAAAAAATTGATTTGATTTGATTTATAGTTAGAGATGTCATTTTCTGAACCTAAAGCCCCCTATCACGATCATTATATTTTTGTTTGATCTTTTATTGGATAATAATATGTGATTTATTATTTTTATATTAAAATATTTGAAGTTTTAATCATTTTTTTAGATATTTGAGTATGTTTATAACTTTATAATATAAATTATAAAATTATATATAATTACCGGGTCATGCGATTGAACCAGTGACCCACTGGTTGAACCAGTGACCTAGTACCTCGAACGAGTCAATGACCGAGCCGGTTTTAATAACATTACCCTTAACTATACGTGAGTAAAAAAATTTCCGAAGCTTATTGTTAAAAAGCACAGAAGAAAAGTACTGGATATCGTTTTTAAAGCAAGTTTCGTACTTTGTGAAAAGAGAAAAAAAAAAAAAAAAACCAGGTTACATACGGATTGAGATCCTCTAATGTCAACTTTTCACATGACCCAGTAATGTTAATCAATCTCAGCCATTTGTTATTTTTAATAATAAATCAACGGTTGTTTTTTATTTTTTTTCTTATTTCTTTTCTCTCTCGTCTATTTACAATTATATATCTCTTTTTTACTTTACTCTCCCACGTTTTCATTTCCTCAGCAAACGTATTCAGAATTGGGATAATTAATTTCTCCTCATCTCTTTCTCATCTCCGCCGGTGCTTCAACGAACCCAGGTTCATCCAAGTCATTTTTTTAGTGAAATATCAAAAGATTGCTCAAGTTCTGTGATCCGCGTCATCATCCTCAACCTCTTTTCCAGAAGAAGACGAAGAAACAAGAAGAAGAAGAAAACGGATAACCCCTGTCTCTGGATTTCTTATCGAGGATGCGACGCTCTGCATCCAAAAAAATGGGTCAATCCAATTCAACTCCTTCCATCAATTCCGATCTCTTCCGCTCTGGTATTTCATCACTACGCCATTTTCATATTTCAATTTTTTTTTATATATTTTAATTTTCAAGCTCGTTTCTTTTTGCCATGGCCATGCTTGACTGTAACTCTCCCCTTCTTTCATGGATCTAATAATAATTTTAATCACGATTATTTAAAAAAACATAGATTAAGGGGTTTTTTAAAAAAGATTATTTTTCTTACGATCATGTTAAAGTTTTTTTTTTTTTTTTTGGGTGGGGGGAGGGTCAGTCCTTGTTGAGAAATTATTTATATTTTTCAAGAATTTTCCTATTATGATTTTGTGAGGTTGGCAGATTGAGGTGGCTGGATGATTAAACTTTTGAAGCATGGACGACACAGGCACAATGGAACCTCTTTGATTAATATGAAACATGGAAAATTCTTGTCTCTAAGCCTGTTTATTCTTGTCTTTTTTTTTGGTGTGCCTCTTATGGGTTTATGCCATTACTCAAACATAATCAGACTAATATCTAGCAAGCACTTTTTATACTGTTTCTGGAATTATTCTCCACCTTGAATATCTGATACTAAAGATATGTCTTGGCTAATGAACTATTTTAATCTAAATCGCAGGATGTTTAGAAGAGGAACAAACGAATGTGGGATTGAAGAAGATGTTATTGCTCGTTTGCCTTCTACCAAAAATTTCGTGAGAGAGAGATATGGATGCTGATGCTGATGTTTCATTCGGAATATAAATATATCACCTTACCAATTTCTCTTATGTACTGTTATTGAAAATTTGACAAATTGTTGTATATTAATCGGTTTCAAGGGGAACAACTGTTGTACTAATTAGCACTTGGAATAATCGGTTTCAAGAGGCTTGATTTTCAAATTCCTGTACGAAAGCACAATGTATTTTACGAAATTCACCAAAATGAATTTTACGAAATTGTTGAAACATCACACTTCCAATTCCAGGTCACAGCTAATATTCCTTAAATTGTGCGGAACAAGATTACAATCAATCACTAGCATTTCAAGTATGAATTTTATTACTATTTAGAACCAAACTTCAATGACAATAAAGCTATAAACTAAATATCGATAAAAGAATCAGTCAAGTGAAAAGTTATGGTACGAAAGCACAATGTATCTTCTTTTTAGTTATGGTATTCAAACTTGGTATAGTGAACTACCTAAGTTACAACTGAATTAGCATTGATAAAATCTGAAGTCAAAAGAGCCAAAATAAATATCGATAAAACTTGAACTATGAGTCTGTACAAAATCTTCCAGTTCAATCTACAAAATCTTCCAATTCAATCTACAATCTCATCAGAAATATAGCTCAAGATTTTACAACACCCCACTATTACCCATGTGATTAGTCAAAATACATGGTGTTTTTTTTAAACTTCTCTAAAAACTGAGCTACCATAATCCATCTTGGGCTAATATGAAAAACTCTACATCAAAGGAATTGGTACTCCATGGATACTTGGTTACTCATTAGGTTTGATACATCACTCAAAGGAATTGACAATGGATTGAACTCGGTGCTTGTTGATTGAAAAAAAGTATCATGAAGTGGCTCATGTTTAAGAAATATAATGCAAATATATTATAAACAATACAAAATTTATTTAAATAAATAAAAATTTCATACACTTCATTAAAAAAAATTAGAAGGTGTCAAAATTCTTACCATTAAAAGTCTATTAAAACCATGATCACTTTCATGAGAACTTGAAATGTCATTGTTTTCCTATGCAAAAACATCAACACAAAATATTGAAGAAAATATTAAATTTGGAAAAACTAAAAAATTAAAACACAATACTCAATAAAATATTGTTGCAAATAAAATTACCTTCAATTGTTTATTTTGTGAAGCACTAATTTTTGGGACCTTTTTTGTCTTCTTGGGTTGGTTCTCCACCCAACTCTTTGGACGCTTTCTCCAATTCTTTATACCATTTCTTCTTTTCAATCCTTTGACTTGTAAGAAATGATTTTCATTTGGGAAAGAGGAAGAAAGATCAACATTAATATTTTCTAGTCCCAAGTTTTTCTTGCAAATCTCATCAACTTGCTTTCGTAAGTCTTCTATGGCCTTTTCCATAAAGAAGTAAGCTTCCTTACAATCAGATGCTTGTGTGGCTATTCTCACTAATTTAGGGCAAATTTTCCTATATCGTTGTGTGCTATCAAGATTAGCATCTTCTTGAACATGTTTGCCATGTGTATCTTTCACAAATCCATTTTTTGCTTCCCTAGTCCACCTTTTCAAAATATACTGAATGGGCAACTTCTTTATATCTTTGACATCAAGAACCTTGATTGCATGACAACACAAAATGCCAAAAGTTTAAAAACTTTTTGCAGCTACATGAAACTGTACTTGTGGAAGGAGTAAATGAAATTTTAAATTCTCCATCCTCATTGCACAACCCAACAAAATAGTCATGGATTAATTCACCTTCATTTCCTTTTTTTATATAACATGCTGCATATTTGTCATATTCTTTTTGAAAAAGATCAAAAAGAGGTAAAGTATATATTTGTGCAACCTGTTGCAATAAAGGTGAATTTTCCATCTTCAACCTTGGTACTTTTTGCCTAGATTCAAATTCACATTGCAGCTCATTGTATCTCTTATCACTAACCACCCTTTCAAAGTGTTTGAAAAATTGTATTATGTCCAAGTCAGGTTTCATGCAAGTTTTCAAATCTGCATTAAAGCTTTCACTAAGTTGTGTACTTTGCATGCCAATAGTGGAAGTATTTTTCATATAACATTTTGCCCATTTTTCCTTTACTTTGTACACACCTATTAACCATTTGTTATCATGAAGATTGTATTCATCCAGCAATTTATCCCATGCTATTTGAAAATCAGCTTCCTCTGAGCATTTGTACATGCAAAAACTAAAGTCTTTCAAAAAATGAGACCCATTCTTCATCAAATTACCAAGGTGCTTTATGCCATTTTGCATCAAATGCCAAGAACATAAACCATGATATGTTTCGGGCATTACCCGTGGTAAAGCTTTAGCCATGGCATGGTCTTGATCTGTGAAAAGAGTTTGAGGCTTCTTGTTCTTATGTGCTTTCAAAAATTCTCTAAAGAGCCACTCAAATGATTCCGAAGTCTCGTCATAAAGAAGTGCAGCTCCAAAAATCACCACCCCTCTAAAGTGGTTAAATCCTGCAAAAACAGCCAAAGGTCTATATGCATTATTGTTACTATATGTAGTATCAAGGGTAACCACATCACCAAAGTATTCATAATCCATTATCATTCTTGCATCAGCCCAAAAAATATTTGTGATTTGTTCTTCAATATCTAATTGGACTGTATGATAGAATGATGGGTTTTCTATTGATTCTTGTTGAAAATATTGTAATAAGCTTCCTGCCTCTCCATATGCCATATTTCTCAACCTCTTGCTACGAAGATAATTCTTTTGATCCAAGCGTGTGTAACCAAGATTTTCTCTTCCACCAACTTGTCTACTCATTAATTCAAATGAAGTCTTTTGCTTAAGGCCTGAATCATTAGCCAAATCAATCTCATGAGCTTGAACTTGAGACAATTTTCTTTGAGATATTAGCATGTGACTTGTCTCCAGAAGATGCAAAGGATGGTTATGCTCATCGCAAAAATCATAAATTTGATACTTCTCAATATTTTTCATATATTTGAGTCCCAATTTCACCGGACAATTTGTTCTAGTTTGAAGGCGAGGATTGATAGTTAAATGATCCCTTTTGTCTGCTCTACGAACACCCTCTTTGCTACATACATATCTAACAGTCAAAATCCTTCCATTTTTGTTCTTGTTATAATATAGCTTTCGAACATTAAATCCAATTCTAACTCCATATTCAGTCCAAAATTTCCATGCCTCTTCTAAAGTACTAAATGTATTGCCTTTTCTAGGTTGTCATTCTAACTCTGCATCCATGCATGGTGCATTTTGTGCAACAATTAAATCACTTGGCATCGTAACATAACAAAATAAATAAATTCAGCTATAAAATATTATTTAAAAATATAAAATTGAAAAATATACCGTATTGTTTCCATAGCCTTACTCGTTAGCATTTGAATGTTGTTTTAACCATGGATGATGGACAAGTTCAGCCATATTGCTCAACCTGCATTTCAAAAATTTTGCCTTTTGACACGCAAGAGAATTTTTTTGGAAATTGTTGAAAAATATAATCTTTTTACTGAAAATTTACAAATAATCAAGAGAAATTTAAAGAACAAGCATGGTCATTGCAAAAAGCAACAAGTTTAAAAATTAAAATATAAAAAAATATGAAAATTCGAATATGAAAATAGCGTATTGATGAAATACCAGAGCAAAAAATATCGCAATTGGCATCAGCGTTTGTTGAAGCAAAGACACATATGAGGGGTTTGTAGAAGCATAGACGGAGATGAGCAGAAAACGTGGGAGAGTTTGCTGAATAAGTTTGTTGAGGGAAAAACATGGGAGAGTTTGCTGAGAAAGTAAAGTAAAAAAAAGAGATATAATTGTAAATAGATGAGAGAGAAAAGAAATAAGAAAAAAAAAACAACCATTGATTTATTATTAAAAATAACAAATGGCTGAGATTGATTAACATTACTGAGTCATGTGAAAACTTGACATTAGAGGATCTCAATCCTAACTAAAGCTTTCATCAAATTTACAGAGAAATTTCTGCACATTAAAGTAAAGTGAATTGCTTTTATTTCACTGTTGATTCACATCTCGATTTTCGTGAATTTGCTCAACCTTTTGTGACATTAATTATGGTTTGCAATTTTTCACATTCTGACACAATCAATTTCAGTATTTCACATCTTTGGTTTTTTAATGAAACTTTGCATTGTCAAATTTTTCGTGATCCGTGAAGTTTTGGTTTAAATGAAACTTACATGAATTTTAGTTTGTGGGTACTGTTCATGAAACTTGTGAATTGTTTCATTTTTATTTAATGTCATTTTATCGTGTTGTTTGTGAAATGATCTGTGGCCTTATCTTTTATTGTTCCATGGATTTAGATTGTTCTGACAGTTTAGATTATTGTGATTAGTTTACTTGAATTTTGTTTAATGGCTATATTATTTCGTGAAATAATGTGCCTTCAATGTCACATCAAGTTTTTCATGTTTAATGGCCATATACTATTAGTTACAGTAATTGGAATTTACATTTGCCTGACACTATTAGCTATTGGCATTTGTTTTGTTTTCACCGATAATTTAGATATTAATTTTTTTTAGCATTGAAATTTGAAATCCAATAAATTTTTTGATTATTGTTACGCTTTTGGCTATTAGTGAAACATTTGTTTGCCTATTAGTGTGAAGGGAAATAATAATTTCATGTTATATAAGAGATATATTTTATGTCATACACTCATAAAATTTCATACTAATTTTTTTTTTTACATTGTGAACTTCACATATTTGTGTCACCCACATAAAAATACGATATCATGTAATATGAAATTAGTAAACCGTAATGTGAAACTAGTTAATTGGATTCACTTTTAAAATTGGTGTCACACGAGACATCTCGGTTAACGTGAAAGATGCTTTGCTGATCAATAATTTCACATTTGGAATTGTCATGATATTATGTTACTGCATTTTTTATAAAATTATTGATATTGCTGATTTTTATTAGACTTGTGATTGAGCCTTTAAATTATTGGGTCTTATTAGTTAGTTTTCACATAGTACAGCAGCATCTTTACTATGCGTTTCAACTTAAGTTTAAGCTTTGTAAAGGCTAGTGTGATATTTGAGAATTATTTTTAAGTTAATTGGTTTCAATTTTGAAGGTGTGATTCTTACTGTTGTGTAGACATGGGCTTCGTGTGTCATTTTTGAAACTTGATTTTCGTGCAATGTTAAATTTCAACATTATTGGAGTTGGAACTTTGTTGCAGTGTTCTGTGAACATGTGTACTGTTATTAGTGATTTTCTATTGATATTATATTAAGTGGACTACTGATATTGTTGTTGGAGTTTAATCATTAAAGTTTCAATATTTATTTTGGTTGACATATTATTTTTGTATTTTAGATTTTACATATGATCTGGGCGTGTAAATTATTGGACATTTGGCTATGATTTTAGTGAAATAAGTGAATATCGTCTGGACTTTTGCATAGTTTTGTGAAATAGGTTCACATGGGTATGTCTCGTAATTAATAAACTTTGTCCTTTTTGGGACATTTTAGTGGGCTTTCACATTTCATATTTTGGATTTAGTGAAATTGGTTTCATACTTCTTTTGGATATATGGGTCTTCAATATTTTATTTAATTGGCACATTTATGACTAGTTCATCGCCATTGGTTTTTGGCACTATAAAAATGTTGTTGCCATGTTTTTAGTCTCATTGATTGCTGTGTATTCCATCTTGACTTATGATTGACAATAGAATAAATGCAATTAATCATTGATTTTTTTTATTATAGCTTAACATATAAAATTAATATTTACTCCATTTGGCGGTGTTACTGAATTATTTTGTTGAATAAAAGAGAGTAAAGTTACCGTATAATTTGGCATTAATTGCATGTGGCAAAAGGAAGGTAAATGAGTATAACAGGTTCTGAACCCATGACTGAAGGTTAATATTTATGCACCGTGTGAATTAAATTAGACAAGCTTTTATGTCATGTGTTATAATGATTTGATTGTATGTATTAATTAGTGTTTCCTTATACACACAATATTGAGATGAATAATTTGAGTATTTTGGTATTATTGCCTATGGTTCGAAGCAATAATTTGGGTCTGAAAATTAATGTCAAGTGATCCATATAATTTCATTTAATTAAGGATTATCCTCAGCACCTTTAATTATTTCAATTATATATTAAGAGTCTTTGGATCACATAAAGGGTATGGCATTAGTTGTAATTCATCATGCAAATATAATAAAAATTCTTGTGGGATAAATTTTTGAAAATTGCATATAATGCTTTTATGTTGATGTTATGGAGATATATAATTTATAAAATTTATCTGCCCAGAAGGGATAAATTTTAGACAATTATATATAATTTTCTCCTACTTAAGCATAGTTAGTAATGCTGAATTTTTATGGCAAAATTTGTTAGATTGACCATGCAATATGATTTCTAGAAACAAATGTTGTGAAGTGTTTCATGTTGTTGGAAGCACATATTGTTAAGTGTTTCATGTTGTTGGAAACACATGTTGTTAAGTGTTTGATGTTGTTGGGCATCATTCTTCTTTTATGCTATTTAAATTGAATTATGTTTAACATCGCGATGCTAGGCTAAACACCTTTAATCAATCTAAGGTTAAAGGTTCGTTAATTTATTTCAGAGGATAGGTTTTTAACTTTTTAAATCAATTTTGTTTTTTTTCCAATTCAGGTTGAATATCATGCGATTGTAGGTATTCAAACTGAATAATGCGATTGCATTCTATAAGGAAAAATTGATCATTAGATTTAATAGTCAGATTAATTTACCCAATGAACATAAGTTGAACAGATCAAAACTACTGCGATCGCATAGTTGAGATACTGTATTCAACCAAACGCTAGGCGATAGTCTAGAGAGGGTTTCCAATTGAATTTGAGGATTCCGAATTTAATCGAGGTTAATCACAAATTAATAATTATCTTTTAATCCAATGACGAAATAAATAAATAAATCCTGATTCCTTAGGTTGATTGCTTTTTAATTCTGATTTTTAAATCCAATTTCAAATCAACAAAATCTTCCTTCCCTTTTATATTTTATTTTACAGAACGTTCCTGATTTCTAGCAGGTTCTTTGGGAGACGATTTGAGTTGTCGTATCACTACAAATCTAAGCTCGGTAATTTGTGTGGGTTCGACAACGCACGCCACATTCGTTTTTCCTTAACAGTGAATTTTTGTTAATTCCTTTGAATTAATTTAAATATATTTGACAAGTGATCTACATGAAAGTAAGTGGGAGTAGATGTATGTTCTTAGTACTTTACGTAGATGACATTTTATTTTTCAGTAAGATGATGATTTACTGAATGAAATAAAAGTTTTTTTTTATCTAAAATGCTTTTATAGGAAATACCTTGAAGTAGCCTCCTTTGTATATATGAGTACTTTAAATTCTTATGATTCCCTTAATTAGTGGGAGTTGTACTTGAGGCTTTCTTTTGAGTGTTTTAGATTCCCTTGATTAGTGGGAGTTACATTCAGTTTGCTTTTTTGGTCATGCAAATTGATGGTGATTTTTGTGACTTTTGTTTGAATTTTAATAATTGATGATCATCATTATTGTTATTTCTCCTGTCGACTGAGAAATATATGTATGAATAAAATCTTTGAGCATGTTGTGAGCTTAAAGATGATTGAATGTCACAAATTTTTGAGATCTCATGTTGTATTGTGACATGTTGGTTTATTTAAACTATGCAATTTCATGTCGTTTGGAAATTGCGTTAATTCAACTTCATGTTGTTAAGAAATTGGATTGAAAAGGCACTTTCATGTTGTTTAGAAGTTGCGGTACTGCAATTTCATGTTGTTGAGAAATTGCATTATGGAGTGTAATTTCATGTTGATTGGAGATTGCACTAATGTAATTTCATGTTATTGAGAAATTACATTGAGGGCTGTTGCTACTCACGGCAAGTGCACCGATCGTACAAGTAATATAATGATT